TGCATCAGAAAATACTAACAGTTAATCAGTCATCAAATTCAACCCACCATCTCATTAATCAAATCACCAAAAAATATATTTAAAATTGCAAACACATCGCATTTTCACCTACTGCTAGGGCCATATAATGCCAGCAATAGTATGCAGAAAATTAGAATGTGTCACGGGTCATTATACACTTATAATTTTGGAGCTTTTTAAGTTAAAATACCATGTTAAATCATCAATTATCCAATGGCATGAAGATAGTCAGCTACAAGCAGAATAAAAAGTGTGAAACATTAAATTGGGCTAAATCTGTACAACGCTTAATACTCAAGATAGACAGGAAAACCACCCAGATAGGTATAACAATGTAGTTCATCTAACCTTGGTGCTTCACCACTCTGATGGAGCTGAACAGGTTCAAAGCATCTTAAAGTTCTGTCCATCTCTTCATTAGCAATCTGCAAAAGAAAAGTTTTTGACACTAATTATTTTGATGATCAGCCTGCAAATTTATCACTGTTACTTCATAAAAAGAAAAAATCGAAAGAAAAGAAAAAACATGTTTATCCTTCATAATAGTAAAGAGACCTTCCTAATTAATTTAGGTTGCTAAAGCAATGCATTATTATCATAAATATTGAGTTAGCAAAAAGGAAAATCACTTTACTAACTTCGCTCTCACAACTAGCAGGCATTTCAACTAGTTCACTTTCAACGCCAAAGCCTTCATTTGATGCAGTGCTAGATATGGAAGTATATTCTGTTCATCAAAGAATAGATTGAAATTAAAAAATTATAGTATATTGCAGTTACTTAAAGAAATATAATAATAACATTTGATAATATATGTAAATAATTAATGGCATACATCTTGCAAGTTTCAGATTTAATTAAGTAATAATCTTGCAAATACGGCGGCTATTCATGCCAATTAGATTTACAAGTGTGAATAGCAATTTTGCTGGTATGTTGCGCTAGTCATTATGACAACGACAACGACAACAGCAACAATAGCAATGACAGTTGATTCAAAGCATTGAACGTTAGAACAAAATTTATTTTTGTTTCCCATATTTACAAGTAAACAAAGTTCAAAACATAGTTCATATAAAGGAAACATAAGCAGAAAATTGTTCCAAGAGTCAGATTAGGAATGGGTTCAATACATGGATAATGAGACACCATTGCTGGCTAAGCACAAAGAGGCTTCAAATTAAGCATTTAAAGCAACCGGTTCGCATAGCATATTGTCATCATTGGTGTTAAGGTGGTCTGAAACATTTTTCTGTTTAGTTGAGAAATGGAAATGATAATTTGCATTTGTATTAAGGCCATATATATCCTTCATTTGTTCGAATTCGTGCCCATATCAGGCAACAACAATAGGAAATAACTTACAATGTTCAATTCTTTTCAAAACAGCAATTTTAGCACTTGAATCTATGTAATCATCTATGAAGCACGGATACTTTAAAAAGGGAGCCGTATCCGTATCGGATACTTATCGGATACAGATACTCCTTGGATACTGCGGATACGTATCGGATACTTCTTAATTAATTTTTTATCAATTTTGAAGTATCGGATACTTAATTTTGAAGTATCAGATACTTAATTTTGAAGTATCAGATACTCGAAATTACATATTACTTATAATATTTTGTTTAGTTCTTTCATAAGAGGAATATAGTGAGAGCTTAAGTAATAGAATTTGTCAAATTGATGTATCAT